TTGAGGTGGCTGCACTGCCATGAGAGATCTGGGCTGCCTCTGTGGCAGTCTTCTCCCAGGACCTGTCTGCCCCATATCTAGAGCTAAGCTAGGGTGTGGAGTTGGCAGAGCCTAGGTGCCACTGCGATAGGAACGACTGTGTACACCTGGACCACACCCCAGGCCCTCCAGGCAGTCTTTGCATAGCTAGATGAGTCCTCTCCCAGGGCCTGTCTTCCTGAGATTTCAGCGCTTAGCTGCTGCATGTTCTTGTGGTACCACCCTAGGCAACCTGGTCTGTCTCTGCGTAGCTAGACCAAGTCTTTGCCCAGATCTCGCGCCAGGCTGTAGGGTGGAGTGAGCACAGCCAGGGTGTCCGCCCCTTCAGGTTGGGGTTGTGGTGTGGTGACAGACATCAGTGCAGGGCTCACTCTGCCCTGATGGTTAGCAAGCCATCACTTGTGTGCTCCTTGCAAGTAGAGTCTAAGCTTCTGTAGCCCTTCTGTCTGTCCCAGCAAATTTCCTAGCAGGCAAGGACTGGGATGCCCAGATTGTGACATGATCTGCTCGCTCCCCAGGGTGAGGATCCACCCATGCGGACCTTCTCTTCCTTACAGATCCCTCCAGGAGGGGTAGGTCCTGACCCAACGCCTTTTTTTTTTCCTGACCTGCCCGGTTAAGTGGAGATCTTCCTTTCAGTTTTGGTTGTGTAGGATTTCTTCTGCCAGTGTCCAGTTATGTTTCCATGAGAATTATTCCACATTTAGATGTATTTTTGATATGTTTGTTGGGGGGAGGTGAGCTCACATCCTCCTACTCCGCCATCTTGAACCCCAAACCTTATTTCTTTTACTTAATTTTTTTAATTTAATTTTTTTCAATTTATTTTTGGCTGCGTTGGGTCTTTGTTGCTGCATGCAGGCTTTCTCTAGTTGCGGCGAGCGGAGGCTACTCTTCATTGCGGTGCAGGGGCTTCTCGTTCTTGTGGCTTCTCTTGTTGCAGAGCACGGGCTCTAAGTGTGCGGGCTTCAGTAGTTGCAGCACATGGGCTCAGTAGTTGCAGCACGTGGGCTCAGTAGTTGTGGGTCACAGGCTCTAGGGCATGTGGGCTTTAGTAGTTGTGGTGCATGAGCTCTAGAGCACAGGCTCAGTAGTTGTGGAGCACGGGCTTAGTTGCTCCATGGCATGTGGGATCTTCCCGGACCAGGGATCAAACCTGTGTCCCCTGCATTGGCAGGCAGATTCTTAACCACTGCACCAGCAGGGAAGTCCCCCTAGTAGCTCGTTTAGTAGCCTAGTTCCTGTATGTTATGGAATACCACCTCCTCTATTTTCTATTTAGTTCTCTAAGGGTAACATATCATCATGATTATGTAATTATTTATTATTTTTTGTTTGTTTCCCCCCACTAGAGTGTAAACTTGTCCAAGGAATGGTCTGTATTTCCTCTAACTTTGTGACTCCAACTAATAGTGCCTCCCTATAATAGGCAGTAAAAGTATAATAGTAAAAGTTTAAAGAGTCTGTAAATGAAATGAAACAATACATATGGAAGTGCATCATAACTCTTGATAGCTGGACCTTGGTGGTATACTGTAAGATGGAAAGCTCATAGACCATGATACAGAAGCAAACCATTCCAAAAACAAAAGTCTCAACCATTAATCAGAGTACCTATAGCCAAAGCCTATAGAAATGATCATCTTTATGCTTACATGCATACAAAGAACCCCAGTAAGAAAAAAAAATAATCACTGGAGAATACAACTTGGCTAAAAAACAAAAAACATGAATGAGTTTATGCCCCTTTCTGTTTAATTATACCCACATGAGGTAGCATACAATGTGCATGTGTATATGCATAATTAATATGAGCATTTTAAACTGCTGTTTGTATTCACCAAACTGCAGGGTGAATCTCTCTTTTCTACTAGAACACATTCTATTTGTTTCAAAATGTGATTTTTCTTATTTTACTGTTCTGCCATGCCATGTGTTACCTTTTGCACGAGTAAGTCTGTTTTGTATTTATATAGCTTCTATATTAAGCTGAATAAAAGTGAGGTTATGGCTCACAGGATTTTCTCTTTTTATTAGAATAGGACAATTTAGGTAGTTTAGTAGTAATTTGTGCTTTAAAGGTTAATTATTGAAATTCTGAGAATTTTTGATAAGTTATTTTTCAAATAAAAATTAGTTGCTATTCTTTTTTTTTTTTTTTTTTTTGCCGTACGCGGGCCTCTCACTGTTGTGGCCTCTCCTGTTGCGGAGCACAGGCTCCGGACGCGCAGGCTCAGCAGCCATGGCTCACGGGCCCAGCCGCTCCATGGCATGTGGGATCCTCCCGGACCAGGGCACGAACCCGTGTCCCCTCCATCGGCAGGCGGACTCTCAACCATCGCGCCACCAGGGAAACCCGGTTGCTATTCTTTAAATGGTGTACATTTAAAGTGTGTTCTTTTTTGGAGGGTGGTTGAAATATTCAAAATGGCTATTTAATTTTTTTAAATGTGTATAAGATTGGCGCAATAGTTGGAAGAATGTTCCAGAAGTTTATTTCAAAGTACAATTTTAGAGGAAAACTCATATTTCATCTATGAGTTTAAATATCAGTTTTAAATACTGATATCAGACAGTGTTTAAAAACAAATATCAGACATTTGTTTAAAATATCCGTTTTAATTTGTGTAAATAAAGTAATTTTCTAACCTTAATTTTTAAATTATATCTTCATAGTAAATAATTGTCATACTATGTAGACACCATATTATGTAGTTATAATTTTTTGTAATTGAGAGTAGAAGGTTTATATATTTATTTATTCTATATTATTCTAGAAACATTAAAGTTGTCTGTCATTTTTGTCTGTGTGAATTTCTCCTTAAACAATTTTTCTAAGATGGTGGGGTTACCTTAGGGATGGTGCTTTTATGTGAAGCTGCTACATCTGACATGGATATTGGAAAGCGAAAGAGTAAGTCATATCATATGCCAAAATGTAGCAATTCTGCCTTTAATACAGAAAAAAGAATGTCCTTTTAATCACTTCCCCTCTTAGTTATATTATTTTACTTCTTTATGATTATAAAAATAATATGTGCTCATTGTAGAAAATGTGGGGGAAAATAGGAGAATGAAACATTTCGGGGGAGAGTTACCCATTATTCCACCATTGAAAAGCTAATAATTTTAACGTAATATAAGTTCCTTCCATTTATAAAAACATCTTTTCAGCTGTATGTATAATACTTTGAATCTTATACCACCCCTTTTTAACCAGAGTTAAAATATTTCACTAATACTTTCCCATACATAATTTTTAATTTATAGTCTATACTGTAATTTACTTAACCAATCTGATTTTGTTAAGTGTTTACTTTTTTCCTAACTTTCATTATAATACTTATTTAGTGACTATTATGGTGCATATTAAACTTTATCCTCTTTCATATTAATTCCTTAAAGCAGAATGACTGTGTGGTCCTGTGTATGAGTATTTTCAATTATCTTGATGTTTTAAGCTGACGATGCCAAATTCTTTCCCCAAATATTTTAATAATTTAGATTCCTACCAGTGGTATTTCAGAATGCTTGTTTCACTGTAACTTTATCAACATTAGATAACCTCATTAAAAATGTGTATGTATATGTTTGCTAATCAGATAAGGGGGAAATACATTATTTTGTACTTCTTTGGTTATTAGTATAGTTGAATATTTTCTTAGATGTTTATTAGCTGTTTGTGTTTTCCCTTCTGTAAAATGTCTTTTACCATTTATGTATTAGAGTCTTATTCCTTTTCCTATTGGTTTGCATAGACTTTTTATATATTAGAATATTCACACATTGATATTTGTTACAAAGAAATACAAACAATGTAATTTAATTAACATGAAATCAGTCTAAGAGTTTTCTTTTTATGGTTAAAGAGTTAAATGTCATCAAAATTAACCTAGGTTAATCTATTTACTTTTTCTTCTAGAAAAAAGATGATGACATTGGATTTTAAATTTGGGAGATACGTATTTTGCTGAATTGAAATGAATTTTTATATATTAGAAAAATAGAACTCACGTAACAATTTTTTATCTAGTCAATATACATCATTTCATTCCTGACTTTTGAAAAATTGCCTATTTCAGTATTCATTATTGGGGAAAGGCCATCTGGGTACTACACTGCTGGCATGAATTTAAATTGTAAAACATTTTGGTGACATATATTAAAATAGTCACAATTTGATCTACTTCTAAGATTCTAACTTAATGAAATAGTCACAAATAGTAATAATATATATTTCTTTAGTGCCTATTATGTACCAAGAAATACCTGAAGCACTATTAGATACATGAAAAAAGTAGAGTACAAATATATATTCAGAGTGAAACTGTATATATACATGTATGTGTGCATTTGATTAGGGAAAAAAAAGACTTCTCCAAAGAGCATGTGTTAATACTCAGAAATAATATATTTAACATTTACATTTTGGCCCCTAATCATATTGTGTGAAAATTTTAAAAGGAAAAAGAATTATTCTCTAAGTATAACAAAACTAAAAGTTGTTTTTAGTATCGGCCAATAAATATGGAGCTCCAGTTTCTCTCGAGCTTCCATTGCTGTAGCACACATGCTTTCCCACACCCCACCCTCTATGCTTCTTAGCCAGTCTTACTCCAGGGACTCAAAGAGCCTCATGTTATGGGAATCATACTTGAGCATTGTAGGGTCAGCATCTAGAGTTAAGGTTGGTAACTGCTATGCTAAACCAGAGCATGTGGGATTAATGGAAAGAGCTATGAATTTAGGACTAGGAATCTGGGTGGGTTTTTTCCCCTCATAATTCAAATGAGGAATCCATGTTGAAGGAGTTCCTCATACAAGCAGTGTAGTTACCAGTGAATGAATAAAATACTTTCAAGTAAGGCTTTCACAATGATATTGCCAGATGTCTTTAAGTGAATATTTATCAATAATAAATAAGACCATACTAAGGATTTAAAAGAAGTTTAATAACTGAGTGAGTTATTTTCTTGTCAGTCATAAAACAGTGTATTTAACACTAAATTCTTGACTGTGATGGCTTTAATGAAATTCATTATTTCATACAATTATATTATACAAGTATGTAAATGGAACTATTCTATTATATTGTAATGGAGCAAATTAAAGGAGAAGGCAGACTGCTGAAGATATAAGAATGGGGATGAACTTTGTTGTACAGTTTAGATTTACCAGTAAATTAAAGCCCTTGCTTTTTACTCTTGGAAGTATAGCCTACAAGTTATGCTCTTGCTCTTTATTATGCTTAACATGCTCATTTTACTGTCCTTTTATTTTTCTGCAGTAATGTGTGTGGCTGGCATTGGACTCGTTGTATTATTCTTCAGTTGGATGCTCTCTATTTTCAGATCTAAATATCATGGATATCCATATAGGTATGATTATTTTTCATTTATATAGTGATTATCTATACTTACAATGATTAAAGTTGATGTTGCTTTATAGTTTTTTTGACTGTATTGCCAAATTACTCTAGCTTCTAAAGCAAAGAGGTAGGCTTTAATTTAGGTATGTTGCATATAGAAATTAAAATAATTATGATACAATGAACAATAGCATGTGATTTCTCAGGAACGTCATTCAGGGTTATTCTGACATCTCCTAATTTAACCTAGAAATCTATCAAACACATAATGATTAGGACATTTTATACCCTGTCTACTCATACAGTTCCTTATCTGCATACTTTACGTGTTTTTGAGGACAGAATTATTTTTCTAATGATTTTTAAAACTTCTCACTCTACTTTTCAGGCTCTTTAGCTGGCATAAACAGAACATTTGATTAGAATCCAGTTTGTAGAGTGTATAATAAGAAAGAGTGCTTAAGAAGGGC